AAAAAAAAAAAAAAGACTAAATTTGCCCTCCTAGCAGTGAATGCCAATTTGGACAAACTGCACTGAAATCTTTGCAGATACCCTCCTTGCTCATTCCTGTGTGTGTAACGAATCATGCCCAGTGTGCATAACCCTTCCTCATTTGGACCTGAGGAGCCAGGTATCAGGGAGCCAGGCTGAGATTCCTTCCAGATCAGCTCTTTCATATGCAGATCATAAAATCAGTGAAAAACGAGCTTGATTTGGCAGTTACATTTTAAAAGAGCGCTTGCAGAAGAGGCAATTTATTCTTCATGCCAGGAATCAACATATATCTCGTATGGGGAGATGTGATCTATACTGATTGTGTTTCATGATGAGAGAAAAATACCATATTTAGAAGAAAATTTCTTGGGACCACATCAAGTCTCTGGAAATGCTCCTGCCCTCAAAAACCTCACATTACAATCTCAGAAATATATATATATATAATATTGTTGTTCAAAATAGCACAGGGTATTTAGGTGAATATTCTTGTTTTATGCGTGTGTCTCATTCCATCTCACCTGTTTGACTGTCTGTTTTCCCATATGGCTCTGAACATTCAGCATTCCTATAAGTTCAGTACAGGTGATGTGAAAATAAGTGGTACAGGTTCAATAGTTCCTGGCACGTCTGCAGGCCGCAGGACCACAAGTGCTGCTGTAGCATTGGCAATCATTTTCTGGGCAAGGTTTCCTATGACACAATGGGATGCAGGAAAATATTTTTGCTCAAATGCTGAGAAAGAAGGATCCTTCCTGAAACAGCAGTGCAGGCATTTGGTAGAGTTTGCATTGCAGGGACATGGCAGACCATGGTCATGTTACTGCCTAGTAAAACAATAATGAAAATATCTACTATTTGGTGATGTTTAGATACATCTCAACAGCAGAATGTTTGCTCTAAGAGTGAGGTAGAATAGAAAAACACTTGTGTGATGAGTTGTTAGAGGTGAAGGTACAAGGATTGCCTGAAAGGTGGGTAATCTCGGTTGCATTTATCCATAGGCAAGCATGGTGATGCTCCTGCTCTACCAAGAGCCAAGCACTGACTGCTGGAATCGGGGCAAATTCCCGGGATCTGCTCTTCTGTGAATGCTGCAGTCCGTATTGCTTGCAGCATTTAAATGGGGTAACCTGTGTTATTTCTAAAGAATGAAGGTAAACATTGTCCAACCTCCTAATGCCTGTCTCTGTTTCCTATACCATAAAGGCTTCTTGATAGCTTCTATAGCTCTCTTGACTTGCTGTCAGGCAATCAATGCTAAAAAATTGACAGATGGGTGTGGGATTTTTTGCTGTCTCTTATAGAGGATCAATGACATTAACATTTGTCATGTAAATAGTACAAATAAAGCAAAAAAATCCCAAGAGTTATTTATGGTTTCAGGGTGACATCTGTAATGTGGGTGGCTGCAGAATGAAATGCAGAGAATCTCAGAGCTCTTTATCATTGAGTGAATTGACTGAATGTTCATTTTTTTTGACGGTTTAAAAATATTAGCTATGCTGGTCTCTTGCATATGGACAAAATAGTCTATGAAGTATTGTCAGTAGAACAGTCTCAGAAGGAATTTGATAGTCCCATTTTATAAAGTTATGATTAAAAATGTAGAAGATATACTTATTTCATGACTTACTGCAAAAATGGGGATAAAAATTGAATGGGGCAGGAAAAAAAGCCCAACCAAAAGAAATCCTTCATCAGTGGTGAAGGATGGGTTATGGATACTTGGTCAACTCTTGATAATCCTGCTTTTAAAATATCCCTAAGGACTAGGATAATGGTTGAAATACAGTTCCCTTCTGCTGTTGCTAACGCCAGACCCTGGAAGAGCCAAGGTATGGTACAGCCTGCAAATAGCTAGGAGTGCTGGGAACACTTCTAGGAATTTCACAGTGGAGACGCATGCAATTGAAGTCCTCACATGATATGGTGCAGAATAATTATTTAAATGACATGCTAATCATTGCTGGAAATTAGCAATACCATTTCAAGCAGCGCAAATCATGGGCAATTACACAGCATTATCTGGTTACTTACACTGGAAACAGGAAAGTTAATTATTCCTACCCAAGACAGCAGCAACTGCTTCAGCACATTCTCCTTTTTGCAGTTTTTGAAATAGGTGCTTTCATCTTCTCAGGTTCTAAAATTCACTTTGCTTTTGTGCTTATGCTATCTAAAACTGAAAATACCACCATGCCTGCAAAAAGAATTTTATAATAAAATTATGTGAGGTTTATCAAAGCCTGGATCTACAATTCCATGTTTCTGTGCCTAAGCTACTGGGAGCTGAGGAGGAGTTTGGACTTTACAGGAGTGCTATGGAAACGTGTCCAGGTCTTGTTATACTGCTCAGCTAAATTAAAGAACAAAATATTTGTATATGTTTTCTCATAGCTAGAAAAGGATGCTGGCTTGAGGCCTCTTACAGCTGGGCGAGACTCCTGTGGGGAAAACCAAATGCTTTAGTGTTAGAGGTTGTCAAGGAAGGTCAAATGGGGAAGTGATTCAGTGAGAAATGCACCTAAGCTTGGCCTTACCTTCCTGCTGTGGCAATGCCATTCCTGGTGTATTGGGCTATGCTGCAGAAGGGTTTTGCTCAGGAAATGTCTTTCTAATGAGTTTTAGATGAGCTTTGATACACTTTAAGCCACAAGCAAGAGATGGGAAAGCGTCATCTCTCAGCAGTTGGTTTCCTGACGTACTGAGGAGAAGTCCTGGGCACAAAGCCAAGTGTCCAGTAATGCATCAACTAAGGGAGGAGAAAATGCAAGAATCCTATCAAAAGTGTAGCCTGGACTTAAAACTATACACTTAAGGGTTTCCTTTGCCATATAAACATGGAAAAATAGAAATTACTGGAAATTGGTGAGGGGTATCCTCTAGGTATTAGAAATACCAAGGAAGTCCTTTCACTCCAGTACCAGGGATGTCTTGTGATACAGAGCTCAGTGCCTGCAGCTGGTGGCAGTTCTGCCCATGTCCTTAGTGATCTAATCTCTCCTGCTCGTCCTCAGCATCCACAGCTGGTTTCCTTCCCTTGTGAAGGGGTGGCCAAGCAGCCCCTGGGAGACGTGCGGGTTGTTTCACCAGTGAAAGCTTTAGAAAGGTGTTTTGCTAATGGGAGAGTTAATATATAGTTTGTTTCAAGCATCCTCAGAGCCACATATTTACGCTTTGCAGCGATGCGGTGTGCGCTATTTTTACTGAAAATGGCATTTTGAAATGTCAGAGAATCTGTATTTGGCATACAAAGTTTGGGAATGTTTTTGCATATTTTTTTTCTTTCTTCTCTCAAGCAACTCTTTGAAGGAGCCAAGTCCTGCATGTTCATATTGGCTCTCAGACAGGCAGACTGTGAGGCAGAGAGGCCTGTGAGGGCCTTTATTTATTTATTTATTTACTTATTTACTCCCCTTTTTTGGGTCTGTAAGTTTGGGATAAATCTTCACTGGAGCTTATTCAGGCCTCCTGCCTTCCTATGGGCCGGATCCTGCAGTCCTTATGGAAGGATGCGGCACCAACCTGAGTGTTTTGCCCAGAGAAGAAATAGGTAAAAGTTGGCCATGAATCTTCAGGCCTATTTCCGTACGGGGGAAGCACTGAAACGATAATGGGGAGATACAAGCATGTGGGCAGATCAGATAAATCCTGACTTTGTGGTTGGGTAAAGAGACGTTTTAAAGTACCAGTACAGCGTTGGCACCAGCAACGTGCTTTGGTGCCGCTTTCCCGCATTGCATCCTGTCTTTGGATGAATTCCTGTTTCACTGCCCTCGCCAGCAAAACTCCCATTGCCTTGAGCAGGGCCGGGATTTTGCTCTTCTAATTGGCGTGTTAGAAACTCCCGTATGCATTGTCGTATAGGTAGATAAAGTGAGAAGGAAATCTCTTTGAAGACTATTTCTGTAACCCATGGAAAATAAGCATAAAGGAACCATGGCTTGAACCATTTCCCATCTGGTTCTACCGCAGTCACTCTATGGAGCAGGAAATGAGCAACAAGTGCAATCTTCAATTGAAATTCTGCACTCACAGAGATTTTGTGTGCCTGGGAAACAAAAATAAAGCAGTAAAAGCTTCTCTGATAGCCCTGACAGCACCTAGCATAGTCTGCATCCCTCAGAGCCAAAGCAGAGGGAACAACAAACCGTGTGGACGTGCAGCCTGGCCAGCGCGAGTTCAGCTGCCGAGGGAGCGCGAGTGGGACAGCCCGTGGGGAACAAGGGTGCTCTAGGTGACCCTCAGACCACAAACACTTGTGTTTTGAGCAGGGCAATGCCATGGGAGGAGGTGCACCATCTGTACCTGCAAGCTGGGGCAGTTGGGAGCTTTTAAAAGAGAGGAGAAAAAAAAAAAAAAAAAAGTATTTTTGCAGTGAGCCTCTGTTGAGCTAATGGTGACATGGCCATCAGCACAGGAGCGTGCCTGGGGCGGGAAGCAGCCGTTCCTGAGAGCACTCCAACATGACGTGTCCCAAGGGCAGAGGGGGCAGGTGGAAAGGCCCCTTCCCATCCCGGGCCAAGCAGGGGCTCCGCAGGCAGCGGCCTCCGCGCCTCTGCTCGGGCACAAACACGCAGAGACGTCCCCTGCACGGGTGAGCCGGGCTGGGTGCGTGGGCGTGTAACGTGTACGTGTAAATATTGAGGGCAAAACACCTGTGCTGCCGCTCGGGCCGCACGAAGCGCAGTGCCGTTTGGCGCGGGGAGCTCTGCCCCGGCGCAGTGCGTGACGCCGGGTCCCCGCGTGGGAACGCGGCGGGGGCCCCCGCGGGACG